GGCTCCCTGGGAGAGGAAGAGTATTTGCTTAGCATGCGCAATGATCTAGATTCAATCTGAAGTAAAACACACACACACACACACACACACACAGAGAATCTCTCTTGCTCTTTATAATCAAATCTCTGTTGGTTGGTCAGTAACATTTTTATCACCTGAAGCTTGTTAAATATACCCTATTCCGTTCTAGTGTCTATGTAGCAAAACTTAATGCAGCAAAGAAAGATAAGGACACATATTGATTAGGAAACAGTAGTCCACAGAGATAAAAGGACAGCTAAGGGGAGAAATAAACTAGTTATTTCCTGAGAGAAAAATGTAGAGCTGGAGGAAAACCTAGGAGGAAGGAAGTTATCTAACACCTTGGGGGAAAATATTTACTTTGTGGGAACAATTACAATCTCTTGCTTGTTTCTGGCTGGTTGGTTTTTGTTTGTTTGTTTTTTAGACAAAGTTTCCCTGTAGCCCCAGCTGGCCTGGAACTCACTTTGTAGACCAGGCTGAACTTGAACTCTCAGAGATCCACCTACCTCTGCTGGGATTAAAGGCGTATGTTGCCACGCCGGGTCTGTATATCTTGTATTATACAGGCACAAGCATGTGGGTTTATCGAATTTAATCAATGTGCCTAAAACTATAAAAAGTTTAAATGGGAAAAGTTTAAGAAGTTAATTCTTTTAACTATTGCAGATTTTCTGATAAAGGCAATGATTTATACTTGTTACCTCCAGCAGGTGTGTGTGTGTGTGTGTGTGTGTGTGTGTGTGTGTGTGTGTGGTGTAGTGTGGTATGTTACAGGCAAAAACAAGGCATTTGTGTGAAGTTAAACAGTAAGGTTGTGAAATACCTGAGCTTCTGTTTCGTAACTACTGCTGTCCAATGCTGAGAATTTCTATGGCCCTTCCTTATTTTTATTCTAATTCCTCAAACATCTATGCAGATTTTCATTCTCTGTAAGAGTCAAGAACAGACCAAAGTCACTGGGCATTTATACAAATGTATTACATATTAAGCTAAGCTCAGTCTCCCTCTCTCTCTTGCTCTCTCTTTCTCTCTCTCTCTCTTTCTCTCCTCACTTGCTTTTTTTTTTAAAGAAAGGGTCTCATTCACACCTAAAGACTGAATTTTATGTTTTGAAAATGAACTTCTCTCGCTACACAGAAATAACAAATATGTCAGTTTTGTATTTAGAAATGTATTAGTAGCAGGGATGTTTTCATAATTTTCAGAGAGTATGCATTCTTCATGAATACTTTTGTATTGCTGCTTGCAAATATGTATTTCCAAACTTGAAATATAGGTGTGAACAGTGTGTACCAGTTTACAAAAAAAGGGGGGGGGTCTCACAGTGTGGCTCATGTTGACTGGCTTTCAACTGATGGTCCTCCTTCCTTCCCTCCCTCGTGCACCACCAGTGCTCTAGCGTTCTGGTGTTTACCAGTTCCATTTGACCCGAATTTGACATTTGTTCAAGAAGCAGGTAAATCAGGGTTGTAAGTCTGTGACATCCGTTGCTTATGCCAGTTTCCTTGAATCTACCTGCATTCCAGATAAAGGCGATGACATGTTTATTTTAGATGTTAGGTTATCTTTCATGGGGAAAAGTGTTGAGAAGCCAGGTTCAACAATCAAGAACTCAGTGGGAATAAGGAACGCTAGTCACGGTGGTGTCCCTTGTGGACTTGTGGAGAAGCAGGGCTTCAGAGTCTTGCTACAGAAGTATCTAAACGGCCCATTTTTCTACAGTACTCGTACAACACACCCTCTAGAAGGATGTTTTGCTACTGAGCCTTCGGGTCTTTTATTAACCTTCTCCAAGAGCGTGCCCTTTCGTGTGTGCCCTTAACGGGAGTTCTCACCATCACCTGGACCGAAAGGATGGTTGTGGATACCACATCTAGCCCTCACAGCTGCCCTCCCTCCCACTGCTTCCCCTCTCCCCCATCCTCTTCCCCACCTCCAGGGGCGCTCGGCCCCGCCCCTAGCCCGGGTTGGCTGCTGGGTGGGAGGCTCGTTCCTTCGCTCCCATTGGCTGCTCAGGGAGGTGCGTCTCCCGTCTCCCCATAGGTCGGCTGGAGGAGGCGTCTCTCCCAGCTGTGCTGCGGTGGCTATTTCCGGAGTAAGATGGCTGCAGCGCGCGTGCTGGGGGCCTGGAGCCGGAACGCTGGCCGGCTGGTAAGTGGGATTGGGTGACTCTGAGGTCGGAACGAAGTGATTTGGTTGATTTCGTGATGGGTTGCTTTCTCCTCCGGGTGTCACGCGTACTGCGCACACGTGATGGAGACGCCGAGGGACGCATGCAAATAGAGCAGAGAAGGCGGCGTGCTGGCCGGTCTGGGACACGCACGCTCTTCCCTAATCTAGGCACCCATCTGCTCTCAGCCCTGAGGTTTCTACATCTCCAGGCTCTGCCAGCCTTTCACCTGCTCACCTTTGATTGAGCACCTTCTATTGCCGGACATCGTAATAAGGCGCGGGAGATGCAGTCATGTATATTCTTTCAACACTGAGTACTCACCGCGCGTCAGACCCCGGCAATATTAACCCTGGCCTCGGCATTTGCAGTCTAGAGGAAGAGACTAGCTAAGCTAAGAATGTCTCCTCAAACTTGAAATTTACTCTGTGGCTTGTGCCTCTCTCTGTCCGCACCACATGGTTCCAACTTTGTTTTGGTTTTGAGACAGGGTCTTACTCTGTAGCGCTGCCTGGCCTGGAACTCACTGTATAGACCGGGCTGGCCTCGAGCTCGAAGAGATCCTTTTGCCTCTGCCAACCAAGTGCTGGATAAAAGGCATGTGCCGCTAGCCAGGCTCTTCCTAACTTTTTATCATTAAAGCACCCACCCATCTCCCATCTCTATTTGCCTTCAGGTCCCTGTAGTCTTTTTGTTTGTTTGTTTGTTTTTGTTTTTTCGGTCTTTTTGAGACAGGGTCTCCCTGTAGCCCCAGCTGTCCTAGAACTCACTGTGTAGACCAGGCTGGCCTTGAACTCACAGAGAACCGCCTACCTCGGCTTCCCAAGTGCTGGGACTACAGGTGTGCACCACCACGCAGGGCTGGTCCCTGTAGTCTTAACAGCAAGCACGGGCATATCCCATTAATAAACCTGTTTTGTCCTAATTGCACAACTTTCTTCTTGAGCACAGCCTTCTGCCATTTCTCTAGATGTTTCTGCAGTGGTTGGCTCTTGATCTTACAAAACCTTTTAAGAGCCTGCTGTGTGTACCAGTTAGTGAGAATACAGCTGTAAAACAGATACCAGCTCTCTCCTGAGTTCGTAACCTTATAGAGGAGACTAGGGAAGAGGGAGATGGGGATAGACAGAAAGTTCTGGACAGAAAGTCATTGCATTGAATGCATCCAGAATCGCTATTATGGAGCAAGTGGTTAGGGTTACAGGAACACACAGAGGCAGACAAGTGGACACCTATGGAGGGAGTGAGGGTCAGAGAGGAGTTCCCAGAGGCCATGTAATAACTTGAGATTGTGAAGGATAAATTGGAGGTAACCAGAAGAGGGTTCTTGTCAGCAGCTCCTCACTAGGTATTAAAGCTGTCCTTCTTAGCTGAGTGTGGTAGCCCACACCTTTAATCTCAGCACTCGGGAGGCAGAGGCAGGTGGATCTCTGAGGATTCAAAGCCAGCCTGGTCTACTTAGTGAGTTTCAGGCCAGCTGGGGCTACAGGAAGACCCTGTCTCAAAAAGACCAAAAAAAAAAAATTCTTGGCTTTTGAGACATCAGCGTCATGAGACACCAGTGTCCCAATTTATTCTCACATGTTTAACTGCCTGGTTCCAATCTCCTTTCTTTCCCTAGGTTTCACATACAGTCATTACTGCATAGACATTTCAGTCAACGATGAATTTGATAGCAGTAGTCCAATACTATGCCCTTTCCTTGTTTATATATGTATAGATAAATAAACACAGTTGTGTTAAAGTTACCCACAGAGTTTCATAGAGTAACATGCTGTACAGGTTTGTTGCATACACTAACATGCAGCCTAGCTAACCCATTTGGTTTGTGCATAACGATGGATTTCTCAGAACACAGATCTGTCATTAAGTGATGTCTAACTACTTCCTAAGAACTCTGATTTTGGGTCTCTGCATGTTTGTTATCTCATTTCTTTGGATGTAGTCACTGTCTATGCTGCTGATTTCCTCATGGTCCCCAGTCTTCTAACAGAGCCTAATGAAGGCTCATCCTATAGCCTGCTGTCATGAAACCTCCAATTGCATGATATGAGGTATTTTTTCAATTGCCTATGCATATGGAAGACACCTAACACTGATTAAGTGGCTCATCAGGGACTGTCATTTCAGCAATTCGTTGGCCCGTTCCCACAAGGCCAGAAGATTGCTACTACCACTTCTCAGTATTTAAAGCAGGAAGAAGGGAGGGATAATGCCAGGCTGACTAACCAGCTAGAACAGTGGTACTTACCTACTGCTATTACAGGAGAGCTTGAAAAGCTAGCCCTCAGCTGTCTCACTGAGCCATAATGCCTCAAGGACACACCAGCTTCTCTGGGCTCCAGAACAGAGTCCTCCAAGCTGTTTCTATTGCTTCTAGCCTTAACTCTGAAGAAATCTAGCCATTGTTTGCCACATCATCCTTAATTGAAGGTATCTCCTCAGTCTTTGCTAATTGGGCCTATTGCTTCTGATCTGGCCCCTTTCCAGTTCATTCTCCATAGTCTAGCGAAAATGACCTTAAAAAGTAAGTTCTTGCTTAAGATTACTCTCATGGCTGAGAAAATTTATGATTTGGACCTTCCCAACATCCAGGTTTCATTCTTTATTTAAAACCTACACATTCCACCCTCTATTAGCCTCTCTTATCCACCGTCCCCTTCTTTCCCCCTTCCACATACCTGATTGTTCGTCTTTTACTTCTTTGCCCATTCTTAGATTTCACATATGGGAGAAAATATTCTATATATGCCTTTGTGAGTATGGTTTGTTTTGCTTAACCCGATGATCCCTAGTTCCATCCATTTTCTTGCAAATAACGTAATTTTCTTTTTCTTTCTTTCTTTCTTTTTTTTTGTCTTTTTGAGACAGGGTCTCCCTGTAGCCCCAGCTGTCCTGGAACTCACTATGTAGATCAGGCTGGCCTCAAACTCACAGAAATCCACTTGACTCTGCCTCCCAAGTGCTGGGATTAAAGGCATGTGCCACCACACCCAGCTCTTTTTCTTTTTTTAAATTCTACCATTTAATTGGACATTGATTATAGACACTAATAAAATAAGATCAAAGTCAAAGCATCATTTTTCTTATACACACATGAACCTACTCGTTCTACTCCCAGCTACAGGATCCCTTCCCCTTACTCCACACTAACCTCACTAGAACTCTCTGAAACAACTTAGCTAATCAAGTGCACCTTGTGCTTGCTCTTGATTCCAGATCTTTGCTCATGGATTTCCCCAGATAGGTTCTCTCAACATGCTCACAGATCTCTGCCTGCTTCTCCTTCCCCAGTCCTGAGATTAAAGGCCCTTGCCACCACATTCAGCCTTTAAAAAAAAAATTTAAGCTGGGTGTGGTGGTGCACGCCTTTAATCCCAGCATTCAGGAGGCAGATCTCTGTGAGTTCAAGGCCAGCCTGGTCTCAAGCCAGCCAGAGCTACAAAGTGAGACTGTTTCAAAAAACAAAGCAACCCACAAAAAAAACTAGACAAACAAAAAACTTACATTGTTCTGGGCAATCAGGATTAGACAGAGAACAAAACAGATGGAATCCCTTTCTATATACAGTATTCTGTGGAGTGAAAGATAAAGCAGATAAAAGATAAAGCAGGTGATTAACACAGTGCCACAATGGGGAAATGGAGCATGCCAGGGGAACCAAGCTGGATGAAGTCAGCTTGAAGTGAGATGGGAAAGTGAGTGGGCATGGCCCAGGAGGTAGGTGTGTTGCAGATTGAGGCCATGGGGAGTAAGGCAAAGTCTTCAGAGCTGGGGAAATCCATGAGCAGACGTCTGGAATCAGAACAAGCACAAGGTGCACTCAATTAAGTTGTTTCGCAGTTTAGTTCTTGCTTAAATAGAAGTACTTCAGAAAACAACTAATTTCATAAGCTTGATTGTTCTGCCAAGTAGTCTGGATTTGCCTAAGTAATTAATTATTGACACTGTGATAATGCTTGGTCTAAAATAGAACTGAATGAATTTTGATACGTACTTTAGGAGATAAGCTGTTGAGATAATGCGTACTTTTTTTTGAATTTTTATTATTTTTATTTTATGTGTATGCGTGTATTGCTGCATGTAGGTAAGTGTATCTGCAATACCCTGCAATGCCCACAGAGGACAGAATAGGCTGTTGGGTCCCCTGGAACTGGAGTTATGGACATTTGTTAGCTGCTATGTGGGTGCTGGGATTCAAACCTGGGTCTTTGGCAAGAACAACCAGTGTTCTTAACCACTGAGCTGTCTCTCCAGCCCCAATAATGTATACTTTTATTGATGGGGTGATGGGGCTTTATGTGTACTAAACAAGCACTCTACTCTTAAGCTACATACCCAGCCTCTGAGATAATTTATTAATGCTTTTTGTTTGGTTTGCTTTTCCCATCGATAGGTTTGTGTTCGCTATTTCCAACCATGTAGTGACATACATCTTTTCAAGCCAAAATGTGTATGTTTCTTGGGTTATCCTTCACTCAAGTTCAGACAGCCACATCATTCACTGAAAACAGCTCCTGGTGAGTACATCCTAAAATTGCAAATGTGCTGGATAATGTTTCTTTATCAGTGTGTTTTTCTTTTCCTTAGTACTTGGTACTCACCAAAGTAAAAAAAAAAGTTGGCCCTGTGTTTCCAGTCTTGCTTGCCCGTAGCAATCCATTTATCATTTTCTTTAACACTGTGTCTTTTTACATTTGGGGTTGGGTTATGCCAGGTCACCTCTTCTTTACTGTCTGACTTTTCTAGGTACTGAAATCAGCACTGATCTGACCTTGGTTAAGGTAAATTGTTGACGTAATGAAAGCAGCTTTACAAACGTGTACGTTATCTAGGGGAGTTCTAGGCAGATTCTGCTTTTCCATGCTCCTGTATCCTGACAGTGTGAACTTTACTGTTTTAAGTGAAACACTCAGTCTTCTGTGCTACAGTGCTGTGATAAAATCAGTGACTGCACTGACGGGAAAGTTCCCTGGCTTTTATCATATACTTACCTTTCACCCAACTAACTAACTTCTGTAAATAACTTGCAGCCTTAAGTGTTAGATTTGGCAAAGGCTTAAGAATGTTTTTCTGGTGTTCTTTTGAGAACCCTGATAAAGAACCCCAAATTTATTATATTCTTAAGCTTTTGACCCATACAGGACACATGCACTGGCCATGAAAGTAGATGAATTCTAGGCAGACTCCACTTTTCCAAGCTTTTTAGCCCCCAAAATAGCCTAAGACAGTATAAAGTTCACAGTCACCACTGTTTTGTTTTAATTTTTTTTATGTGAGTTTTTTGACTACATCTATGTAGGTGTACCTATGTCATGTAATACTCACCAGAAGAGGGCATTCAATCCCCTGGAACTGGAGTTACTGATGGTTGTTAGCCACCAGTGGGTGCTGGGAACCAAGCCTGGATCCTCTAGAAGAGCAGCCAGTGCTCTTAACCAATGAGCCATCTCTCCAGCCCTGTCACCACTGTTTTCAAAAACATTTTTATTAGCCTGTTGTGGTATCACATGACTTTAATCCCAGCACCCGGGAGGTAGAGGCAGGCAGATCTCTCTGTGAGATCAAGGCCAGCTTTGTTCAGAACTACATAGTGAGACCCTGTCTCAAAAAAGCACCCCCTTTTCTGGTCACTCTCTTTTTCTTTTTTAGAACCCCCTTCTTTGCATCCCCTTCTTATCTTTCATCTACACTCATGCCTTCTACCGCCTAGCATTAAACACTTTTGAATCTGTAGCTCTGACTAAAATATCTTGCTAACTGCCAACTAAACATCTGTTCTAGTGTCCTATGTATAACCCCAATTCCTGAAACTGTCTTCTGTCTTCTACAAATCTCTTCTTCCTACATTGCCCAACTCAATACATAAGCTAGAAACCTAGTGTCAGGATCAATCCATTTACTGAGCCTGTCAGCTTTATACTTTATGTGTTTTGCTTTTTTTTGAAACAGGGTCTCCCTGCAGCCCCAACTGGCCTGGAACTCACTATGTAGACAAGGCTGGCCTTGAACTCACAGAGATCCACCTGCCTCTG